AATCCACACTTTCCTGAATCTGCCTCCAAGAAAGAGAATGGACTACCCTCCGCGTTTGGAAGGCGATCATATTCTATATTGAAAATCGTAGGTGATGTGCAGGCCCACAAATTCAGCACGCGCAAGCAGGGTCCAGCGACTCAGCAGGCCACCCGAAGATTGGGTGTGTCCGAAGTGCGCTCAACTGAAGAAGCAGCTGCGCTGGTGGAGGGAGCGTGGCTGGACGGCAGCTCGAGCGAAGCAACAATCAAAGCCTGAGAGCCCTCAAGTTCTGGTGAACACACGTACCACTTTTTACGGCCTCGTCAAGGAAGCAATGGGCCGCAACTCATCATCGACGGTGTCTCTGGATATCACAGGAAGCGTTCCGCCAGGAGGCGCAAAGTCACCGGGAGTCACAGATCGTGAGTGCGACTCTTTGAGGCATGGGATAGTATTCTCGCCTTCACACCAATACATATTCTCAGCTATGCAATCAAGCATCCCTTGTGCCCACAGGCCTTTCTACCAGCCGTCTACATTTAACTATCCCCTTTGACGTACCGCTCAATTCTGCAGATGCATGCGAATACGGCATCATATGTGCCGGATTGATCAACCAACTCCTTCCTTTCCCGATGCCGCAAAAACCACAGACGTGCAGAATTCCGCCCTTGGGGGCAGAACAAATTGCCACTGGACAAATGATTAGGGCTCACCGCAGGTTCGTTTGCAAAAAGAGACAAACTTATGCACGCGAATGCCTCAACGTGCAGAATCAGCTCAAAAGGGGTCCAAGACACCATTGGAGTGGCCGCCCATTGCACCTTCTCCATCGCCCAGCCCGGGTGCCATTGAAGAATTGCTGCGAGACGCGCATCTGCCGCGCCCATTTGACAAGGTGGGCTCCCTGCTTAGACATCCTCTTCTCGTCCACTCATTCCAAGGATCTGCGTGATAGCTTGGGTGAAAGGGCAAGAAGAGGTATTTTCAATAAACGCATACGTGGCATAATAACTGTTGTAGCACGATGCTGACGCAGGTGCGAAAGGAAGTGGCGTGCCATACTCCCTAATTGCAATTAATTGGGCTGCATCACCGTTGGCGCACATGTATCACAATTGCGGTGCAGCCGCGGCGCTGGCGAGCTACTAGGGGCAAGTCTTGAGACTCAGTTTGTCGGATGCGGACACGGCAATGGCACAGCAGCAGCAGCAGCAGCAGCAGCAGCAGCAGCAGCAGCAGCAGCAGCAGCAGCAGCAGCAGCAGCAGCAGCAGCAGCAGCAGCAGCAGCAGCAGCACACTAGGAAAAAAAGGGCCAAATAACACGTGTTCAAACGTGTACAAAGTTTACGGGTTTGTGTTATTTTTGTGTTCTTAACGTGCAGAACTTTGATAGAATGTGTTTTATGTGTGTTTGTAAAAGTGTTATTTGGTCCTTTTTTCCTAGTGAGCAGCAGCAGCAGCAGTAGCAGCAGCAGTAGTCTCTGAATATCAATCACCCATCAGAGCGTCGTTTCCAGCATTTCACAGAGGGCATAATATCAGAGTGGTAGGAAATGTGGATTCGTGTCGGTGCGGATGTGCTGGTCTTGATCACGTACGTCGTGACAACTTGAATTGTTCTATGAGCGATTATTCATTTCGAGTTGCAGTACAGTGTGTCGGGCATTGCTTCATTGTAGCCTATCCACGTGTGCGTTTCACAGCAGCAGAACATTATCCCTCTCATACATATTCTAATTGTTTCGGAAATGGGCCGAATGGGACCCAATCGTGTACTCTACGATTTTCCAATACCATGAAAATTGAATTGAATTGAACTACTGTGCCATGCTTTTGATGCCATTATCACCAACGTCGCTTGGGATGCAGGAGAAGAACAATAGGCAAACGGTTGACTTGTTTTCAGCTGTGAGGGACCAGCACAACAAGAGGCAGGCCGACATGTTTGTCTCGCACTCATTTACACCCGATCTATCGTTAAACATCGGAGGGGCAGGACTTGTGAAGGGCAAATCCTCTGCCGCAAAACCAGATAACCGCCAGGTGGAGTGGAGATGGGTGATGCAGTGGCAATGCCGCAAGGGGGCATTTTGCGCAAGATTTTGTGGCAAACACACGGACGTAATTACGTCAATTCATTCACCATCAGGCGCACCTGCTGTCAATTTGGGCTTTCCTATTCAAGACTGCGTTGCTTGCGTTCGCTCAGGTATGGAAAATGAGTGTGCCTCTGAGGCGCATGTAATGCGCGTCGGGTATTCCGGTGTATCGGGCTTGTCCCACAACATGGTCGAACATTCCCGGTTTATTGTTGAACGGAAGCTCTGCATGTCAGCGAGATAGCTGCAGAGACGCTTGGATTGTCACGGCAGTGAAAATCCCAACGGAGGTTTTGGGTGATGCGGCTCTCATTTACAATACTGCGCCATAAAAATGATAAATTGAACGGAGATGAACGTAAGCTTTGCCAGAGCAATTTGTGGTAACTCTCGGCGTTGAGCTCCATGTGCGCTCGCACCAACCAGCCCTTGGCGAATTGCGCTGAAGGGAAGGGCGTCTGAAAAGCACATTCTATGGGCCACGACTATGTTCTCCATGTGGCCTCTTTGCCGGTGCTCTGAAGAACGCTAGCGCAGCAGTTCGAAATCGCACAAAGCGGCCATGTGGCAATTTCGTTTAAATGGCAAAACTGCCCGAAGCATGCAGTGCGATCAATGTGCCACCCGTGCCAATTATTGGAAACCATGCATCGGCGATCAAGGGGAAGAATAGTTCCCAGTTTTACACATTTGTGGCTGAGTTTACCTTCTGTTGGAATGGGACCAGACAGTGTATTTGAAAAGGCAAAGGCGTGTCGAAATGGGGTAAAAAAAAGCATGCTGCACTAATCGTGCTTTGTCCGTTTCGCCTCATCGATGTGTCAAGCGAGCAAGCGAGACCAGTTCAACAACGCCAGGAGTGTTGCGGAGCAATTTTCAGCAGCAATCTGACTGGCACGCTCCAACGCCGCAGATGGAACCCCGTGCAGGAGGCAAGCTGGAACCTTTACAGCACAAGGGCGCCTTTCCAAAGAATACGGATGCTCTCGGCACCGCCCTGCCAGACAAGGTATCGCTGCCACCACTGTAAGGTGTACGGCATGATTGTTGTTGGCGCTGCCGCTCGGCCGTGGTAGATCTGTGCCAAGTGGAGGGCGCATCGTTGGTGTGCCGAAGCAGGATTTGGGGCCAGGTTTACGGGGATGTAGAGAGTTGAGAGGAATGCACGCCTTGCAAGCTGAATCAGGTGTAATTGCTGGTTGTATACTGCTCTTGTCGAAGACCATAAGCTGTCCTTTTCTTCGGTTGCACAGACTTGTACCATGTGCAAACAGCCAGGAGGGAAGCAGAGGAGTGGTGGGAATTGCAAAACATGGTTGAGTGAGGAAGGAGGGTGGGATGATATCAAGAGGCTCGATCGCCCTTTGGCGGGGTACATACCGCCCTTCTACCGCACAGCTTCAGGCGCACCTATGGCCTTCACAGAGTGTTGTAATGTTTGTCCACTCAGCAAGATATTTTGCACTTCACTGCAAAATGGCTGGCATTCACGCGAGCCACTCATACATCGTTTGCGCAACCATTGTTGATGATCCAACCGCAGTGATGGTCCGTGTATGCCACCATGGCTGTCTATAAGGCGGTAGTATTGCATCCTAGGGATTCCAAAATTTTCTTGCGCGTGGATACAGGTGAAGTGCAATGATCCCCAATATACTACAGAAGTAGTTGTTGCATCGATTGCCATGACAGAAGAATGAACCTCCAGGGGGTGACGATGGCAGTCATCATAGCGAAAAGCATACAAGGGAAGGTCCGAGTTGGATACCTGACTCGCAGGTACCGAATACCCCACTCGGCATCGTTTGTTTTGGTAGCATACCATAATCAACTCAAATGGCAAGGCTGCATGAATAGCTGGCCGTGTGTCATACACGGCAAGCTTGCGTCATGATGACACCGTCATCTGCCCTAATTTTGGAGAATTTTATTGTTCTCCATCCATTGGAGATTGATACAATCATATCCAAGCAGACGGAAATTCGCTTGCGAGACAGCAATACGGCGTCCATATGGACTGGCCAACTTGGGACCGGGTTTTCAGACAAGTCGATTGGTGTAGGCGCCGCTGTGGATGGCCGGCTTCGATTTGTCCCTTGATCTATCCACTTGCAAGAGCGTCGTGAAATTGATCCCGGCTCTTTTCTTTTCACTGCACATATAAAAAGGTCAACAAAACCGTGGCCATTCAGTTCTCGAGGCCAGAGGCGATGACTCCCATACAAATGCGCTCGTCGTGCAATACCACTCAATACAAGTGCCGCTCTACCTGGGTCATTGATGGCGGCTCAACTCGTGCACAATGGACGTGCTCGACGCACAGTTGTTAGGGGCTCAGGAGGGACTACATGCATAGCTCGACTGCAGGAATATGTGCCACTAGTAGCCAGTCGCCCCCCTGCTGCATCAGGCCACCACAACTCTGGATGTCGTGATGTGTGTTTGCACAGAGGTACCAGAAGTCGGCAAGTGTGTTTCCCCTGCTTCCCCCCTCCCAAAAACGCCCACCCTGTCCAGAAAGCTATTCTACATAGGCCACTCAATGCGTTCAGCACAGGCACTATCAAAGGCCAGCACCCCAGAGCCAGCAGAGCAGATTCTGTGACTCAACCAAGGGAACACGTCACTGCAAAACAGTCACGCAGGTCCTCAACCTGATGCCTGAAGGCAGGACATCACAGTAGTCCACCCAATACTTAGTGTAAACTAATTTGTCCAGTACGCCAAGGGTGCCAGATTCCAAAACTCACATCACAACGGTACACATTTGAAGTTGTAGCATCGACTGAGGTGGGTGCCCAATATAACCCCAGCATCATGGACTGCCACAAATCAAGCACTTGTCAATCGACAACATAACATTCAGGACGACAGCATGAACCCAGACTAGTCTGAAGCACTGAATTGTGCACCAGCTTACACACGTGCATCCTCTATGCCATTGGACTGGCTTGCTTCCAGCGGCGGAGGCAGCTCCAGCAGCAGAGATATGTCTTTCCACCCACTGCGTTCAACCCAAGCACAAAGAGCCTTGCGCATCCAGGCCTGGGTACACCTGTTGCAAACCTCGGGAAGCGAGAACTGCACGGCAGGTGATCGCAATCAGTCCATGCACACACGCATGCCACGAGGACACGAATCCCACACACCAATGCTGTGGGCACAAGAATCAAATCGTTCGGGTGATCAGCATCAGAAAACCATGTTGTCTGCATCAGTGCTGAACAGGACTTGTTGGACCTTGACAACTAGTTACAACTAATATCATCAGGACAGTTGTGGCCCTGCAGTAAAGGGACAAGAGAGGGGCAGCCTTCCCAAACTGCAGCGTTGCATAAGACCAGAGTGCACAGAGACTGTTCATGTGTGTGCATGTGGACAAAGTGCGTCCAGCGCGTGCATCACAGTTGTCCATCAACACCGAAATGAACAAGCAGGGGGCAATGTATGCAAGGGATCTGTATTCGATCTTGGAAAAAAGAACAGACAACACCGCACGATCAAGGAAGCGCACAGCCTGTCTGCGCCTGTGATCACCAATTGCACTGCCCCTTACCCAGCTGCGCTGTCGCTCGTGTGACTCCGGCCATTCGTCCAGCTGCTCCTCTACTTTCAAGACATACATATATGCCAGGCAGTGCCCATTGCTTGGATCGGTTGCTCCCCGCTTCTGACTCTCAAATGGAAATTCGCCCAAAATGGCCCCCTGCAAAACACGATCATCATACAGTCCAGCACTAAGAAACACAGGCACTTCAAACCTTCCTGTGAGTACAACGAAGATCGCGCTGGTGCAACTTGTAACAACCACTGTGTTTAAAGCGAGTCTTCCCCTCCTAGACCTTCAAAATACGGCTCCACTCCGGGCTTGTGCACTGTGTGCTAAGAAGTGAGAGAACAGGAAATAGGTTGGTGTCGTTTGCATCCAAGGGCAAGAACATGTCCGCCTCACTCCTTCCTCACCTCAATATCTCCCCTAACCCCAGCCTCCTCTACAGTCTCCCTCACAGCGGCTTGCTCAGCTGTCTGCTCGTCGCATTCCCAGCCGCCCTGCACCACATATGAAACAGGCAAATCACAGCCCAAGACCAACATCTCAACGCAACACACATTCCCAAAAAAGGTGTGCAATCAAGTGGATCGCAGACCCACCACCAAAGCACACCCAGCCATCAAGTCTCTAGCTGGGTAGCAACCTGTGCAACAATTGGCGTACACAACATTCTGGGTTGTTTCTCTAGAGAAACAGGCACGAGGCCAAAGCACTCGCAACTCCTCCCACACTGCCAACATCCTCCATGTCGGCGCCCCCCCCCCCATACATTCCGACCCCCACAATTTTCCACAGTTTCGGAGGCCCACCTTGGGGAAGATCCAGCCATTGCCGCATCTCCTGGTCACCAGCAGGACCTCCACCGCGTCGGCGCCGCACCCATCCCCGGCGTACCGCACGGGGATGCAGCTGGACCGGAAACACAAGGCCGTCACGCGTCCGCACACAGCTGAGCGAGCCGGCCGAGCGCGCCGCTCTCGAGAGGGGCAGCAGTCCATCCTCCCGCAAGCGAACACATCAGCCTCGGGCGCCACGGGGGGTGCTGCGCCTGCCCATGGTTAGGTAAGATCTGGCACGCCAGGCCCACATCCAGCACCGCAACACGACGGCATCCCTCGCTCTCCGCCCCACCGGCGGCGGCTACAGCTCCCCTCCCGTCGGCAGTCCCGGGCAGGCGGTCCATCTGCGCCATTGGCCACTCACCCAGCCACCAGCCTCTCCCCGCCGGGCCCGTAGCGCTGCTTGTGGCGGCCCTGCCGGGCCTGCATTTTGCACGGCACCCCGTTCATCGGCGCCCGCGGACCGTCGGGCGGCCTTCCTGGCGGTTGAGCGCGGAAGGCACGCCGGGACCGAGAGGAGACTGGCTCAGGCGCCAGGCAGGGGCATCATGGCGCGCGATTGTCCGCGATAATGCGGGCGCGAGCGGGCGGAAGCCCGACAGCTGGTGAGCGGATGGCCGATGCGAAGGGGTGCGGTCCGGCGTCGGTATGGAGAGTCTCCTCGAGGCAAGCACGCCGGCGGGCGGGCACCCCGCTGTCGGAGATCCCGGCGGGAGTTGGGAAGTTTGCTCGGCAGCGCCTCGGGCCCCAAAATCGAGGGGGCCAAGCGCCCCGACCGCGATCGCCCCAGCGGGGGGGAGGGCGCCTGGCCGCCTGGGGTTGAGAGGGGACTGGCGCCCGCGGAGCGGGTCCGCGGCGGCGCTGCTCAGGAGGTGCGCCCTGTGAAGCCTGCCCTCCCACAGGATGGCCGGCAACTGGGGGGACGCCACACGGAGGTGGTTCTGAAGACTGAGGATGGTGGTGGTCGGACGTGGGGGATGGGTGCGAAACACAGTTCTCGTTTGCCTTTGGCATATGTAAGACTTGCTCCCAGGGCTGCAGCCTTCGCCGCAACAGTTGAACCGTGAATGACGTAGTGTTGCCCACACGCCTGTATATCGCACATATGTGCGATGCGTTGGATATGGTAGTGTTGCACCATTCTCAATAATGGGGAGAAAATGAGAATGATGTCCAAAGATGTGCGCAAATGGAAGGCTCAAAACACATTGCCACAACCTACAATAGATTACAGTCTGTTGAAGGTATGGCCATTCAAGGCCATCCTTTGGAGTGCGCTTTGGAAGCTGGTGATTGCAGCGCTCCCTTGGAGTCCGCTGCGGCCATCCTTGGACCAAACTCACAGACGAGCAGCCTTGGGCTTACATATTTGTTCGCCCTTCCCACAACAGAGTCTTGCCGCCGCCGCCGGCAACGACCCCCACTCAGAATTCCTTTTTTCGCAACCACTCATCCACCCTTTTCACTTCCAAGAATTGTCATCAATCACAAATGCCCATAAGACAATTCAACCCCCATGCCACCTCATCACTACGGTGCCGCCCATATCTGAAACATGCCACAGCTTCCCTTTCACTCAGAATTCAAAACAACACAATTTTGACTACTCAGGTGCCACATATGGTCATTTCCAAACGCCCCCACTGCAAAGTGCAAGTACAACAAATCTTGCAAGCCAAAGTGAAAGTAAAGGGCGGTCACAATGTTGTAAAGCTTCGGGAAACACACATCCGAAACTTCCCCACAACACACCCTTGCATCTTGCGGACAAAACACTACGACCAAGGCATCTCTATGTGAATTGCAGGACATTCTTTCATCAAGCTCATATTGTCCTCAACAAACATGAGTGTGATCAAAAACTACCTCAAGAACCAAATTCAAAACCAGAATTCACTCACAGAAATGGCTAATCCGACTTTTCATAAAACATGTGCCAATCTTCAAGCAAAGAAGTATGCATAGGCTAGAAGCTCAATGCTGCACCAGGGAAAGAGACATCCTGTGTGCCCCTCCAAGGAAAGTAACATCTTGGTGGGAGTAACCTTTGCAAGTTTCATAGCACCATTTTTCTGCAACCACATTCTTTTTTTCTTTCAATCTCAAGCAGCGATTCATGTTTTGACATGCACACTAGTCGCAAGCCATCAAGCATAAGTGATCCACCCAGTGAAACGGTGGTCATTATGCGGCGTCGCGAACATGGGCACTCCCACGCTTCTAACTGCGAGAAACTCCGAATTTCTGCTATTTCTGGATCCTTTCCACTTTATAAATTGGTGGGCCCATAAATCATTTGAATTTGGACAGGTTGGGTGCACTCCTTGCCGAGCCACCACACGCCAACTTGCCAGGGGGCCACCCCCCGGTCCATCATGCCGGGGGACCCCTGGTCCAGTCAACATGGCATACGCCAACATGCCAGGGGGCCAACCCCCGGTCCAGCACGCCGGAGGACCCCTGGTCCAGTCAACATGTCAACATGGCATGGCCCGCAAGGGGAAAAGTGGGGGCATATGCCCCCTTTGCAGCCACCCATTGGCCGATTCCCTGGCTGTCACATCTCCTCGTACAGCAACACTCCACTTTGACACCCACGTGACAATCCCGGCTTCCCCGGTGCCAATTCCAGCCCCTTCGCACCCACTGCACCGGGGACCCGCCGCCGACCCGCTCCTCGCGACGGTTCCAACCGTTCCCCCGACTCCCCACGACTCCTCCGAGGCGCCCAAACCACAGCATCCCTCACGGCTCGCAAACCCCGTTGATCGTGGTGTTGTGCACCGCTCATTCCTTGCGGAACGGCCAACTCCGCGGCGCCCCGAACTCATGGTGCACAGTGCCGTTATATGCCATTCCGCCACATCGCACAGCCTCTATTTCCACTGCACAGTGCTCGCGCGTCTTCTCTTCTCACGTGCGTGCGGGTGGCTGCACTGCGCGTTGCCCATTCCGCTAGAAAGTCGCCCTCACGGGAGCGGGCGGTCATGTGCCTCACTCCCCGGAAATGGCGCACATGGCGCCAGCTCCTCGGCCCCGTGCTGCTGGCGCAAAACTCGCGCAACGGCGCCACTGCCGAAACCATGTTGAAGGTATGGCCATTCAAGACCATCCTTTGGAGTGCGCTTTGGAAGCTGGTGATTGCAACGCTCCTTTGCAGTCTGCTGCGGCCATCCTTGGACCAAACTCACAGACGAGCAGCCTTGGGCTTACATATTTGTTCGCCCTTCCCACAACAGAGTCTTGCCGCCGCCGCCGGCAATGACCCCCACTCAGAATTCCTTTTTTCACAACCACTCATCTACCCTTTTCACTCCCAAGGATTGTCATCAATCACAAATACCCATATGACAATTCAACCCCATGCCACCTCATCACTAATGTGCAACCCACATCTAAAACATGCCACAGCTTTCCTTTCACACAGAATTCAAAACAACATGATTATGACTACTCAAGTGCCGCCTATGGTCATTTCCAAGCGCCCCCACTGCAAAGTGCAAGTACAACAAATCTTGCAAGCCAAAGTGAAAGTAAAGGGCGGTCACAATGTTGTAAAGCTTCGGGAAACACACATCCGAAACTTCCCCACAACACACCCTTGCATCTTGCGGACAAAACACTACGACCAAGGCATCTCTATGTGAATTGCAGGACATTCTTTCATCAAGCTCATATTGTCCTCAACAAACATGAGTGTGATCAAAAACTACCTCAAGAACCAAATTCAAAACCAGAATTCACTCACAGAAATGGCTAATCCGACTTTTCATAAAACATGTGCCAATCTTCAAGCAAAGAAGTATGCATAGGCTAGAAGCTCAATGCTGCACCAGGGAAAGAGACATCCTGTGTGCCCCTCCAAGGAAAGTAACATCTTGGTGGGAGTAACCTTTGCAAGTTTCATAGCACCATTTTTCTGCAACCACATTCTTTTTTTCTTTCAATCTCAAGCAGCGATTCACGTTTTGACATGCACACTAGTCGCAAGCCATCAAGCATAAGTGATCCACCCAGTGAAACGGTGGTCATTATGCGGCGTCGCGAACAAGTCATTAATACATTTGCAGTAGTAGTACTTTGCGCGCTCCATCACCTAGTGCTCGGGTCACCAATAATGAGCCCATTATGGCTCCATAATGCGCCACTCAGTTGCGACAAGCTAGTGCCCCGTGAGGCCCAGAATTTTGCGGCATGGGACTCCATATTGGCGCAGGATGGAAGCGTGGTGGTCAGGCGCCTCTCGCGCCCTTGGTGGGCCAACAGCTCGCCCCGGGTCGCAGATCCCCGAATCGTCGCACGCGGAATCGCGCACGCACTCCGCCTTGGGTCAGGACTCTCGGACACATGACACAGCACAGCCAACGTTGGCTGGCTCGGGGCACACTCGTGCAGTGCAACGGCTTACACGGATTGGAGGTTCACTGGGCAAGAGGGGTCGCGGCCTTACATCCGTGGCCGGACACCTCACCGTATCGATACTGCATCGTAACCGTATTTGTTCTGTATCCACCGTACCGTACCGATAACTACGATACGCCCCAAAATGCGGTGGGCGGCCACTACGCGGCCGCAGTTGTATGACAAGCAGACAACCTTTCTTTCCCCGTTTTGATGCAGTTCCGATTCTTAAACCGTATGCCCATTCATGTTACGCGCACCGGCCTGATGTGGGGGACGCCCTACTAATGGCCTTTGGTGTGGGGGACGCCCTGCCCAAGATATGCTTACTATTCCTTATCCCATGGTAAACATTATCCTTATTAGGATATGGGAGTAGGAGGGGTGGTCCCGCCTAGGTCCCCGTAAGGACCTAGGTGCCCGGCGAGGCGGGTCCGCGGCTCAAAGAGGGCAGGAACCCCACACCCACACACTTTACACTTTACGTATCAATTCAGCTCATTAACCCCTAATGACCGCCCGTTTATACAACAACCACTCCCCCCTCCAGGGAGCTCGGCCTCGAGCGTTGACGTGCAGTCTTCACTCCTGCTCCTCACAGGCTGGTCGGATCCTTGGACGGCTGGCCCTCCTCCAGAAGCTGGCGCAACTCCTGTTGGTCAAAATCTCCAGCCTTCCTCCAGGTCGCTTCCTCTAGGGGCTTGTCCACCTAGATGATGAGATATTGGGTGACCACTCGGTTCCTCTCTCGAATCTTCCTCCAGCGGACGAGTTGGTCAATGTCAGGCTCCTCTTCGTCGTCCGCATCCAAGGCAGGGAATTCGTCGTCCTTCTCCTCTGCAGGCTCCTCATGTGCAGGTTCAAAGATGCCGGCTCGGAACGGCTTCAAGAGAGACATGGAACACGTTATGTCTCCTCCAACCTGCAGGCACCCTAAGCGCATATGCTATGCATCCGTACCTAGCGATCATGCGAAAAGGTCCAACAAACTTTCTCTGCAGCTTATCAGGAGTTCCCTGACGACGCATGTTTACAGTGGAGACCAACGC